CCTGCTGAATGTGTTAGGGGCAGGAGGCTGTAGCACTGGTCTCAGGTTTTTTCATCCTTGAATCCCCTCCTGCTGGGGCAGTGCTGGCCTTCCCGAGAGTGTGGATGGACTAGACCTGACCCTGCGTGGGTAGCTGTGAGCTGTGAGACACTGCCATCTCACCTTTTGGAGTGGGATTAGATGATAAAAGTAGCATCTAGTATTTTATTTATTTTAAAATATTTATCATTCTTCCTTCTACATAAATGGAGAGAGAGGGAGGCACCCCAGCTGGATTCTCATGCTACATCCCACCCCCAGCCGCAGCCGGGCCGGGTCTCTGTCGTGTGCAGGTGTACCTGAGGTGTGTAGGGAGACCCTAGGACGCCAACCCCGGGCTTCCCCTGGGAGTCTGGCATTGCAGACTGTTGTGTGACTGCTGCAGCTGACCCTCTGGTATTTACTGAGCTCATTATTCTGACTGAGCCATACACTCTGCCGTACATGAATTATTTCTTATACCTTATGTAATATACAAAAATCTAGTCGCTTAATCCTTGCAACAATCCCATAATTAGGTCCTGTTGTCCTCATTTTACAGATGAGTAAACAGGCTCAGAGAGGTTAAGTAATGGTGTGGAGCTGGTGGTGCCCAGCACCTTTGAGCAATCCTGGCTGCATGTCATGACCTTTGGATGGATGCTTTACTTCAGACCACTTACCTGAGAGTCTCAGGGGGTGGAGGGGGACAGGCATGGGCTCACTATTTTTATACCTCCCTGGGTGATTGTATTTTGCACCCATCATTGAAAACCACTGCACTATACTGAAGTCTTTAAGGCCCTCTGGCTCGAGGAGTGTGCAATGCTGAGCAATAAACACCAGTGCTTTGTAGGCTACCCGACAGTAATGGTCCCTCGATAGCACGACTGCTCACAGCTGTGTACAGTGTCAGAAGTTGAGCTCTTTATGCACATGCATTAGTAAAGACTTGTTTGAGAAAGCGCTTGATGTCTAAGAACAGCTCAGTGACTCACTCTTCCTGTGGCGCTGGGGCCAGGTGTTCTCTAGTTGAGCCTCTGTGGTCAGTGTTCCTTTAGAAGCTGCTCACTGTGGTTAAAGACCTACTTGTTGGTCAGGGCCCAGGACACAAGCTACTTCATGCTTAAAAGGAGGAAGTGTTCTGTAGTGTGCAGGGCTGATAAGCTAGAAACCAGCTGGAAGGAGACCTTCGGCTTGCCTTCAGTAGTACAGTGGGGCTAAATTGAAGGAAGAGCTCTGTGGTGACGAGAGGGAGGAGACAGAAGAAATATATACAGAATTCCCCTGGAGAGGATTGGAGAAATTTGATGGAGGGGGCAAAAAAATAGGCAGACATGGATTAGACTAGTTGTTGGCTGTTGGAGTTGGAACCAGTAGGCTGCCTGCCACACAGCATTGAAAGAATGATCGAATAACCAGAGTTCAAGGAGCCTGCAGACCTTCTGTCCAGCCCTGGTCCATAGACTCTGGGAAATGGGAGCCTACTGGGCAAAGATGCTATCGAAGCCTTTTCTTTCTCCCTCTGGAGTTCACAATGAGGTACATTTGTTATTTAATAATATAGGCTAGTATTAGGTTCTTTTATAGCACTAGGTCTTACAGATGAGAAATGAAATGTTAATTTTTAGCATATTTTGATTTTTTTAAATTAAGTTTTAATTATATGAGAAATATACCAGTTCAGTCCCCTGGTTTTTATTTATTTACTTTTAAGAGAGATTTTTGCTGTAGGGCGCATGTGCTCACTGGAGAGACAGAGAGAGACAGAAAACAAGAAATCACCCCCTGGGGGGATGACCATGCCATAGTCCCTTCTCCATTCTTTGCTCGGGATTTTGAACATACGTGCACATGAGCCAGCATGAATTTGAAGCTGCCAGACCCAAGACTCGAACCACAGTCCGTTATGGAGTCCAGTAACATAACCGCTGTACCATCTGCTGGTCTCTTGCTTTTATTTTTCAAAAATTCTGTAGGTAAAGCTGAAGTCCCTTTTTAAAAGCTTTTTGTTTTTTAGTTTATTTTGTAAGATTTCATATAAAGGGGACTTCTGTGTATGGCTTGATGCAAGTGTTAAGTAAAGCTTCATACTCTTTGTATGAAGTTTCCTTGTTTTTTTCTGCCTTTAGAGGATAATCATCTTAGACTTTTATTGTGTTGCTAACATAAATACCCAAGACTGGGTGATTTATAAAGAAAATAGAGATAGGGAACCAGCAGTTAGCGTAATGGCTATGTCGCTGGACTCCCACGTAGTCGACCGCGGTTCGTGTCCCGGGCCCGGTGGCTTAAAACTCACACCGGGCGCGTGTGCGTGCGTGCCCAAGATCCCGAGAGGAGAATGGAGGAGAAGGGATTGCGGCGTGACCATCCTCCCTGGGGGGTGATTTCTCACTTTCTGTCTCTATGTCTCTCTCTGTCTGTCTGGCGAGCGCACGCACCCTACAGTGAAAATCTCTCCCCAAAAAAAAAAAAGTTCTGCCTTCCAACATTTTGCGGTACCTTTGGATTTTCCATCTACCTTCTGTGAATTTTGCAAATAAACCTCTATTTTTTTTTGGAGAGATTTTCACTGTAGGGCGCGTGCGCTCGCCAGACAGACAGAGAGAGACATAGAGACAGAAAGTGAGAAATCACCCCCCAGGGAGGATGGTCACGCCGCAATCCCTTCTCCTCCATTCTCCTCTCGGGATCTTGGGCACGCACGCACACGCGCCCGGCGTGAGTTTTAAGCCACCGGGCCCGGGACACGAACCGCGGTCGACTACGTGGGAGTCCAGCGACATAGCCATTACGCTAACTGCTGGTTCCCGGAAAGCAGAACTTCTAACAGAGTGGAGTGTGGTCTGTATCCATGAGCACCTCTCTCTTGGGTGTACATCTGATCATGGGGCCCTGTCCTAAGGACTTCATCATACCCAATGGCCTCATCTTGGGACACCATGAAGTTGGTGTCCCATGGGATTAAACTTTCGTGTAACAGCTTCTCAATATAATTATATCCCAGCACATGAATTTCTGAGAGACTTCCAGTCACCACCCATTAAGACTAAATTCTTTTTTTTTAAATTAATTAATTAATTAAATTCTATTTGTTATCATTTGAACAGAGAGAGACAAAGAGAGAAAGGGAAAGCAAGAAAGCAAGTGACAAGGTCCGGGACTTGAACCATGGTTGGCCATGTGAGAATCCAGCGTCTTTAACCACCACACCACCTGTTGGCGCCAAGACCAAATTCTAAAACATGAACCTTTGGGTTCTGTTATGCAAACCATAACAGCAGTACAACACTAAGTGCTTTCTAAGATCTCAGATCTTTGTGTTGTTGGTAGGTTTTCGCTATAGGGTGGGTGTGTTCACTGAAGAGAGACAGGGAAAGAAAAAACACCTAGTAGGGGAGATGGCCGTGCCGTAGTGCCTTCTCCGTTCTCTTGGGATTTTGGATGCACAGGCACCCAGCCTGATTTTCAAGACACTGGGGTCTGGGGTCAAACTGTGGTCAGCCATATGGGAATCCAGCACCGTAACTACCACACCACCTGCTGGCCCCAACCTCAACTCTTTTTAGGAGTAAGCTCCCTCGCACACCCTTGTACTGTGTGAAAAGATGAAAGTCCAAACCAAACCCAAACTGCCGTGCTTGGCTGGTCACTTTGACACTTTACACAGCAAACGAAGCTGAATGTGCTAGCAGGTTATAAGGCAGGCCTGCAAAGCATCTGAGGGCCTAACCATGTAAATTAGAACAATTTTTTTCCCTTTTTTAGGAACTGTAGCAGTGTCTGTCAGAGTTCAGTTATGGAAGGATGATGAGAGAACAAGGGATCGCCATCTTGTGTGGTGGAAGACTCAGGCTGGGATTCAGGGAGTCGTGTCCAACTCCCAGCACCGGCATGTTACCATGTAGTTTATATAAACACTTAATTTCTCTGGACCTCTCTTTTTGTCTCTAAAATGGGTAGATTAGTATTATATGCAGCATTTTAAAATATCCAGAGTATGTGTATGGATATGATCACATTGTTACAAAACTAAGAGAAGCAAAAAGCACATGAGAAGTAAAAACTAAAGAATTATTAATAATGAAGTATTTATGTCATATCCTTAGAAATGTTGCTCAGATATGGAAAAATGAGCAGGAAGTGCCCTCAATCACATCATATGCTTCTTTACACGTATGTACATGATCGTATGTGTTGTGTATGTGTTATTCAGACATGATTTTACGCGTGTTACAGGGAAGAAATGATCTCCCTCGGGGATGGCGACATTAGAATCATGTGTCCCCTTCTATCCATGAAGCCTGGAGAGTACTCCTATTTCAGTCCCCGGACTATGTCGATGTGGGCTGGCCCGGATCACTGGCGCTTCAGGCCTCGACACAAACGTATGTACTTCTGAGCAGGATTTAAGAAAAGAGAGCGCGTAGACAAGCAGACAGTCGGGGTAGCTGAGGAAGGGAAGTGCCAGTGGTGGCCTTCTCAGACCTCCTGAGCGGAAGAGGTGGACAGATGAGCCAGCCTCCTGGTAGCACAGTCCATCGACCTAGCTTGCCATGAAAGGTCAGTCAGAACTGCAGCTTCTAACAGGAAGTGAGAACCTAGATTTAGAACGGGGCTCACGACCTGGCCTTGCATCCAGTGAACTTAAACAGTGCCTGCAGGTGGGAACAACCCCTGCACCCCAGTGGGTTCATGAGCTACTGCACAGGCGGTGCTCTGTGAAACTTGGGGCTGTGCCAGCGTCATGTGTTTGCTTTCTCTCTTTAAAAGGAAGGGATTGGCATGTATTTTTAAATGTGTTTTATTAGCCAAAACACAAGTTACAAGTGTATGACAAAAATAAGGTGTATAATTCAGCATACCTACCACCACTGTGATGCTCAGACACAAGCTCTCTCATAGTCAGACTGTCGATAGATCTTGCAAGGTAAATAGCTAATTCAGGCCTCAGAAGTGACCAGTGCTGACATCCGTGTTCATTTCTGCAGAAGATACTACCTCCCAGTCAGAGCACAAAAAGAAGAGTGCAAAGAAAGATTTCGAAATAGACTTTGATGATGACATTGACTTTGATGTATATTTTCAAAAAACAAAGGTTTGTACTATATGTATTAGTATTTGCGCTTTCTTAAATTACTCTTTGCATTCCTTATTTCCTTTCAGACTTTATCATTTTTGTTATAGGGCACGTGCACTTGCAAGAGAGACAGTGTAGGGGGCGAGGGAGAAGAAAGCCCCACTCCCCCGCAGGGAGGATGGCCATGCCACAGTTCCTTCTCCTCCATTTCCCCTTAGGATTTTGGATGCACGCACACATGCATCTGGCATGTTTTTCAAGTGATAGAGCCAGGACTCAAACTGTAGTCAGCCATATGGGATCCAGCTGCCTTAACCTCTGTGCCATCTGCTGGCCCCAAATGTGATTTTTATTTATTTATTTATTTATTTATTTTTAAGAGAGATTTTTGCCATAGGGCATGTCTGCTCACTGGAGAGACAGAGAGACAGAAAGTGAAAAATCACTCCCCAGGGGGAGGGCCATGCCGCAATCTCTTTTCCTCCACTCCTCTCAGGATTTTGGGCACGAACTCACATGACCCCAGTATGATTTTTTTAGCCGCTGGGTCTAGGACTCGAACTGCATTGGATTACATGGGAATCCAGCTATGTAACCATTATGCCATCTGTTGGTCCCTGTGATTTTTAAAAAATCATCATAAATATAACTCTTAAATCGATGGACTAATTTCTTTTACTCCTTGGAGGACTGTTGGAATAGTTTCAAAGTCTGTGACAGAAAAGATAAAGTTTAGGAGCCGCAGGTGGCGTGGTGGTTAAGGGCACTGGACTCCCACATGGCTGACCATGGTTTGAGTACCAGATCTGGCGGCTTGATTTCTCACTTTCCTTTTCTCTCTCGCTCTCTCACTCTGTCCCTCTGTGGTGAAATTAAAATAAATAAATAAGTAAAGTTAATAAAATACTTCTTTTAAAAAAGGAAAAGATGAAGTTTAGAATGTCTAGCAAAATTACTTTTTTTACATGGAACTGTGGAAACTCTGATTGTAGAGTAATGCTCTGCCCAAATCTTAAGCTATTGAAAAAAAAATGACAAGTATCAGATGGCATAATGGTTACGTCACTGGACTTCCACGTAGTCAACCACAGTACAAATCCCGGACCTGGGGGCTTCAAACTCATGCTGGACTCATGTGCGTGCATGCCTAAAATCCCGAGAGGAGAATGGAGGAGAGGGGATTGCGGTGTGGCCATCTTCCGTTGGGGGAAGGGGTGATTTCCTGCTTTCTGTCTCTTTGTCTTTCCAGCGTGCACACATGCCCTATAAGCAAAAATCTCTCAAAAAAAAAAAAAGATGCCTAGAAAGCACTGAATTTTTTTGTTTTTCAATTAATAGGCTGCTACTGTTCTGACTAAGTCCACTTTGGAGAGCCAGAATTGGAGAAGCACCACTCTTCCTACGGATTTCCACTATGAAGTTGATAGTCTCATCCAGCTTCATCTCAAACCAGGCCTCAGGGTAAGGCTGTTCCTTGGTTTCTTTAAACCTGTTGATGGCATGCAAGGTATCAGGTGACTGGAAGTGTGACTGTGGGGTAGCTACTTTGAGGAAAAGAGGGTGTGAGGAGGGATATGTGC